TTCAGTGCTGCGCCTCTGCCGGGGCGGCCGTGCCGACGGCGCAGTCGTTGGCGGCGGCAGTAGTCTCGAGTCGTCGCCGCCAGCCACGCCAAATGATCAGACGGAGTCGACGGAGTGGAGGACTGCACCGCCCTGCCCTCGTGGAGGCCCTCGTCGAGGAAGCCAGGCGAAGCGGGCGAGGCAGGGGGCTTTTGACCTACTGGAGCACGACACGACGCGTAGCCGCGTGGCGAGCGACGGGCGGGGGAGGGCCAGTTGCCCACCGAGCCGCCAGCCCGCACGTCATAGCTGTCCATAGTGGCCCCGCCGGCACCGCCGGCACCTGCAGGCCGGGTCCTGGACCGTCACCAAGCCATTCTTATTCTTCCTGGTGCGAGGGTGGGGCTGCGCCGGGCTGCGCCTAGCCTTGCAGTGCACCGTGCACGGGTTGCACTCTCGCAGCGCCTACACTGCCGTTGTCCTAGTGCTCCTAATAGGCCCCGCACTGCCGGACTCGGCCGGACCACCGGAGTCCTGGGTCCAGACGCCCGGGGTGTTCCAGCAGCCTGATTCCGAACAGGCGCTCCCTCTCGCAATCCCCAGCCCGGGTGCGAGAGAGACGCAGCACTGCTCGGAGTCGGACGAGCGGCTCGCCGGACTGCTTGTGATGCCGGCCGCGTCGCCGCGTCGCCCGGCTAATAGTTTGTGTGTTTTCGTTCTCGCTGGCAGGCCGGCAGCACGCGTCGCTCCTAGTAGTGGGCTCGCCGCGTCGCCGCGTCGCCGCGGGCACTTTCATTGTGAAATTGGCCGGCCGCGCCGCGAACGTTATTAGGAAAGGGCGCTGCCTACCAGTGTGGGTGCCTGCCGAGCACTGCCGGGGCGGAGGAGGCACCGAGCGAGTACGCGGGTAGAACGGGAGCGCAGTTGTGCGCTTGCAACGACGCTTGAAACAATTTTTAAGGATGTTGGCGCTATTTTTCAATAAAGTCGGCTGACAGTTTTGATTCCAGGCCCATTTGAGGGCATTCCCGGCGACGTCGCAGGACACCGCAGGACGCCGCAGCCTTCCCAATGCGGTTCTGTCAACCTGTGACCGGCCGGCCCGCCCGGCCCGGCCTCGCCGCATTCGACTGTCGCAGCCGCTTCAATCATTGATGCGGATGCGCAGCGTGCGGCCCGGCAGCACTGCTCTGTCTCTCTCGCACCTATGCGGGACGCCCCAAGCGTGCGAGAGAGACAGAGCGACGAAAGCAGGCTTGCTGCCTCCTGACCGCTGCAGTGCACCGTCGTCAGGGGGACACTGCCATCGCCGGGAACTGTCGCCGGCCTGTAAGCTCTCAGAGAGAGATTCCCCCGCCGAAACGCCCGAGTGTAGGCCAGTGGTTCTCGCGAAAAAATTTTAAGGGGTCGCGGCGAGGTAGCTGGGGTCGTGTTTTGGGCCGATTTTAAGCAGCCACTGCGTCTGATCCGAGGCGGGCATTTTGCTCCCTCAACGGGCAATTGGTCTTTGGACCTTCCTTTAGCATGCCTCTGTTACGGAGTGTGATTATCAGTCTTAGTTTGGGAGCAGTATTGTCTCAAAGTTTACCAAAACGGTCAGAAATGTCTTTGAAAAATCGTGTTTTGGGCCTATTTTAAGCAGCCACTGCGTCTGACCCGAGGCGGTATTTCGTCCTCCTTCAACGGGCAATTGGTCTTTGGACCTTCTTTTAGCATGCCTTTGTTACGGAGTGTGATTATCAGTCTTAGTTTGGGAGCAGTATTGTCTCAAAGTTGGCCGAAACGCTCAGAAATGTCTTTGAAAAATCGTTGTGCCTGTTTTGGTCAACTTTGAGACAATACTGCTCCCAAACTAAGACTGATAATCGCATTCCGTAACAGAGGCATGCTAAAGGAAGGTCCAAAGAACAATTGCCCGTTGAGGGAGCAAAATGCCCGCCTCGGATCAGACGCAGTGGCTGCTTAAAATCGACCCAAAACATGATTTTTTAAGACATTTCTGAGCGTTTTGGCCAACTTTGAGACAATACTGCTCCCAAACTAAGACTGATAATCGCACTCCGTAACAGAGGCATGCTAAAGGAAGGTCCAAAGACCAATTGCCCGTTGAGGGAGCAAAATGCCCGCCTCGGATCAGACGCAGTGGCTGCTTAAATCGACCCAAAACATGATTTTTTAAGACATTTCTGAGCGTTTTGGCCAACTTTGAGACAATACTGCTCCCAAACTAAGACTGATAATCGCACTCCGTAACAGAGGCATGCTAAAGGAAGGTCCAAAGACCAATTGCCCGTTGAGGGAGCAAAATGCCCGCCTCGGATCAGACGCAGTGGCATGCTAAAGGAGGGGTCCCGTGGGGTCGCGAAACTTTTCCTGGGGGTCGCGGAAATTTTTGGCTACAAATTTGGGGTCGCGAGCCGAGAAAGGTTGAGAACCGCTGGTGTAGGCGGACCGATACACTGCCCGGGTCGTCAGGTGGTCGGTGAGCGACCGGCAGCCCTGCGCACGGTCGCTTCTGGACGTGCACTGGGAGATTCCGAGGACGCCGTCAAAGCGCCTTTTCGCCAACAATCAACAAATAATTGGCCTGCAACGCGTCTTTCCATTAACGCGGTCCGCCGTCCTCTGCCTGGCTCTGCCTGGCGGAAACGAGCCGCACTTCTGAACCAATCCCAACTAGGCCATCCTCCGCCGCCTCGCTTTGCTTCGCGTTGCTCGCTGCCCGCCATTCCACATTGGTCACACAGCAGGAGAACCCCTGGCGAGGCCTGCCGTGCCTGCTGGGCCTGCTCGCCAAACCCCATCCAGTTACAGTGTACTGCCATCTCTTCGGCCGCCGCGCCGCCCCGCCGCGTAGCGCGCGATGAGTTGCTTGGCAGTCGAGAGCCGAGGACGGCCTAGGAGCCGAGCCGGGCTGTATGCTCATGCCGAACGGCACTGCGTCGCTCTGTCTCTCTCGCTCCCCCACGGCGGGCCCCGGTGAGCGCGAGGGAGGCAGGGCGACGGTGTTTGGAATCAGCCTGCAGGGGAGTCACTCGCCTCCATCCCGGCCTCGAGGGCCTCTGCGTCTACGGCCACTAACTGGCAGGGAAATGCAAACACTCGGCGCGTCCAAACGGCCAAACGCGCAGCCAAACGGCTAACGGGGCCGACGCTCTCTCTCTCTCTCTCTCTCTCTCTCTCTCTCCTCTCTCTCTCTCTCTCTCTCTCTCTCTCTCTCTCGCACGCACTCGCGGCTCGTGCCGTAGGCGTGCGAGGAAGACAGAGCGACCAGCCCGCTGGTTGATGACAGCGCAGGTGCGACGCGAGTGGGCGGCGTGGCGGCGGCAGCGGTCCAGTACTCCGCCATGCAGGCCATGCAGGCCATGCAGGCGTCTGATTCCGAGCACTGCTTTCGTCGCTCTGTCTCTCTCGCACTCATGGGGTTTCCTGTGAGGGTGCGAGAGAGACGAGCGAAAAAACAGTGCTCGGAATCAGACGGCAGGCGATGCAGGCACCCTGCCACGGCCCGGCCGCTTGGCCCGCTTGGCCTGACCGCCTGCCTGGCCACGCCTGGCTCGCACTGCCGCACGGCCGACATGACAGCATGTAGGAGTACCAACAGAAACAGAAAAAAGTCACACACACATACACACACACACACACAAGAAAACGAACGACTCTACTCAAACGCAATGCATGCGAAATTTTACCAAAGAAAATCAAAGTTGAATCGAAAGTAAACAAATCTTGTTTTGACTAAATCATTACATTGAAATAACTGTTTTGCTGTTCAGATTTGAATAACTTGTTCTTTTGTGTACGGAGGCAAGGTTTTAATTTTCTCCTTCGGCCTGGCAACGACATTCGAGTTGTTTTGGTTCTCTTTTTCTTAGAGAGACGCAACGAAATGAAGGCATTCCGTGGATTCCCGTCGTGGTCCGCCCGAGGCTTGCCCGCCCGCCGGGCGTAGCCTCGCAGCCGGGCCCGGACAAGCCTCTCGACGCCGACACGCCTGGCTACCGTCTCGCCTCGGCCGCCCTGCAACTGTCATATTATCGCTGGGCAACCCGCTTACGGTCTCACACAGTGGACACACACACACACACAAACGCGCGCGCGCTCAGGACAGACGCGACATGGTGCGGGCACCATTGCGTTGCAGCCACCTCCGTCACGTTTTGTAGCGACCAGAAAGATTATCACACACACACACACACACACACACACACAAACAGGCGCGCGCGCATGTGCACTCGTGTGTGACGGTTCGCTGGACCGCGCGGCACCCATGCGCACGCACGCCGCCGTTCGGCCGACATCTTATTCGGCGAGGAGGCTTCATCCCTATCCACCCCCCCTCTCGGTCTCTGCTCTCTTATCTCGGCGAGGTAGGCTCTTCATCTCCCTTCACTCCTTCTCTCTCTCTCTCTCTCGCGAGCGCGAGGCAACCGCGCAGCGAGAGCCCAAGCTCGCGTTCACCCGAAACCTAACCTCACTTTCGGGGCGGAGGGACTTGTCGCGCGGGTCGGGGCCGGGGCGGTCGGGGCGTCCCCATGCGTCTCGCACAACTTCGCCGTCGAGCAAGCCACGCCTCGCCCCTTCCCTCTCCCTCCCCCTGGCCGCGGCTCCCGCTCTTTTTCGAACGCGTTAATAAAAAGAAGGCGGTGGGGACGCACGCGGGGCACGGCCGGGCTTAACCTCGACACACATATTCCCCCTCCCGACGCCGCCACGCCGCCGTCGGGGGGAGCGGGCCGCCGCCGTGCCGCCGCGCCGCGGGATGCAGCAGCACGGCCTGCAGCAGGGCTAGCAGGACCTGCTGCACTAAGGATAACAACAATATCGGCTCGGCCACCAGAGTGCGCCACCGCCACCGAGGCCCGCGCCGCGCCGCCCGCCCCGGCCCCCCGCCTCCCCCGCCGACGCCGGCCCGGGCCCCGCGCCGGGTTCGGCAGGTCGGCGGAGTGGCCTTCCCCCCCCGCGCCGCCCCGCGCCGCGCCGTGGCCGTGCAGGGCGTGCTTTCAGTCAGTCGGCGGCGCGAGACGGACGGCGAGGCGGTGTCCAAGACCCTCTGGACGAACAGGACGACGATGACGTCCCCGGGGTGACGAGTGGTGCGAAGTGAGTGGCAGTGACAGTGTACAGTGCATCACCATTGGATTAACGCCTCGTCCCGGCCCACCGCTTCATCCAGGTGAGAGGGACTTGCCCCGTCGAGAGAACACTGAGAATCGACTAGGCGCCAAAATGTGGCGAAGCAAATTCTTACCAATTCCCAATTTACGTGGCCCACTGGGAGTTGTTGGAATATTCAATAATCAGTGCGGCCTGCCTGTTGTGTATTTTTATCACTTGGAGTCGTGACACACTGGTAGTGTCTTCCACGTGGAAACCACGTGGGCTCATGTCTATTGGATGACCTGTCGAGCGGCGAGCGCGTCATGAAGTGGTCGTCCGGAGACTTGAATGTGAGAGTGAGCCGAGAGACTGTCAAGGAGGACCATTATTTTGAAATTCGGTCGAATTCGGGCCTTGTTTACGAATTCGGAAATAATTGAAATTGAATTTTGCCGGTCAGGTGGATTTACCTCGTATCTTCAAGTTAAAATCCTAAAAATTTTCAAAAAAAAGTGAGAATTTCGTCCCTTGAGAGAGTAATTACCCAATTGAAAGCTCGGCTCGTTGTTGTAGTGTAGTCCCGCCCGGACAACCCGGGGCTGGGGCCGGTGCCCGGCAAGGTCATAAAGTTGGACCACTCGCCGCACTACTTTTCTATGTACCAATGCACCAGGTGGGGACTGCTCATAAAAACAGCCACAAATATTCAATAGGGACACTCTCTAAGACTGTCTGTGATTCGACGGTAAGTTTCGTAGCCGGGTGCTGAAGCATTCGCGGGACAAGCTGGAGCGCGCAGCTCTCTGGGTTGACTACACCGTTTGAACTCGAACGACCATCAATTAGCACGTGCAAACGTGTGCTTTCGGTACACTTCTTGAAAGCTTCCACTCCGTCTGTTGAGCAACGGCCTGTCTCGGCGGTCTGTCTGTCCGTCCGTCCGTCCGTTGTCGGGTGATACGTGATTGCCTTGGCTACCCCGCCCCGCCCCGCCCCGCCCCGCCCCGCCCCGCCCCGCCCCGCCGCTAAGACGGCCCGGGGGACGCCCCAGGGAGGCTTCGCCTGGCTTCGCCTGGCTTCGCCTGGCTTCGCCTGGCTTCGCTTGCTGCTGCGCCTTTGTGCCGCAATAGGAAAATAATAATTGGGAGGTGTTTCTTGGCAGAGTACCACTTGGTGCAGTGCCATGCCCGACCATTCCGTGTCCCTTGCCGGCTTGCTGGCTCGCGCCACCTACGACCATAACTCTGCAGACCTGTGTGGTCTGGATGTCCAGCCGAGCCGCTGGACTCCGACTGGAGCCCGGCCGGAGCGCGCGGGCGGACGGCTGCAAGTATTTTTCATACGGAGCCGCGATAAATCCGTCGCTGACTGAGCGGTTTCGTCACTCTGTCGCACTCGCGGGGCGTCGCGTGAGGGTGCGAGAGAGACAGAACGGTTCGCTTCGGAATCGCTCTGCGGCATAAACCACGTGACCAATCTAGAAGGGGGGCGTTGTGGGTCTCGAAACCGAGGCGGCGCACTGTTGTTTCAACTGGACTGACTGGCGTCGTCCGGAGGCCGACGGGACGGCGGGCCGAGGGGCTTAGGACGTTCTGGGACGGCCGGGGACGGCCCAGTCATCCTGGCGAAGGCAAGCGCCATCTCTCCCTCGCCTTAGATGACTGTGGGACGGACGGCCCCCCTCCCCTTCTTCAAATGCGAGATGAATTGCCCCAAACGACGTTGCGATGCAGCCGCACAGCACAGCAGCGCAGTCGGCCGTGTTGCAAGGAAACGCAAAGAAACAACGCAACGGACGCGCCCGCAGCTTCTCCGGCGCCCGAAATGGCTCGGCCGAGGGCTCGGCCCTGCTAGCTGCAGTTGTAGTTAAATTAAAAATTCGCGGACGAAACACGAGACCGTTTTGCTGCCGGTCGGAGCAGTGATGCGTCTGTTGCCGCGTTTCGTTCAGACGATCCCATTGCCCGTGGGAGCAAAAAGTTCGAATCGAATCTTCTTTTCGATTTTCTTTCTTTCTTAGGTGTGTGCCAAATCGATACTACGACTAATCCACCTGAACGTTTTTAACAGTGTACTAGCTTATTTTTAATCCCGAAAGCGTCTCTCTCACTGCTTTGCACATCGAGCGTCTCGTCGAGATCTCGACGCGCCGACAGTCGAACTCGCGAAATCGGAATGGCGCCGCCGCGAGGCCGATCGATCGATACACCGACAATCACCGCTAATTTAAGGGCCCTTTTACGGCCTAAAAAAAAAATAAGAAGCCGTGAAAATAAATAAAACGGCGGTATTCCGTCATGACGCCCGCCTAAGTAGGGCGGCGGGCAGGGCAGGTCCGCGCGGCACGGCACGGCACGGCACGGCACGGCGCGGCGCGGCGCGCAGCAACCACCCCTGGGGCTGCTGCTGCGTTGCTGCTGCGACCGCTCTGTGAATGAGCACCGTATACGGGGGCCTTGTTTTCAATGAGGCAGCCCGGCTTAAGCTCCTTCACGCCGGCCATACGCACACACACGCACACACACACGCACACACACACGCACACACACACACGTGCGAGACGCCTTGCCAATTAGGCCGGGAACAATATGAAGGCAACACGCCCCATCGCTTCGGCCGCCTCGCCTGCTTTGGATTCCGCGGAACGCAAACCTGCTCCTTGCATCGCCCGCAGTCTCTCTCTGTCTCTCTCGCGCCTCCACGGGACGACGCGAGAGAGAGAGAGAGAGAGAGAGAGAGAGAGAGAGAGAGAGAGAGGGGGGGGGGAGCGCGCCCTGCTCGGATTTGCAGGCCGGCGGCGGCCCTGTAATGGTGCGATACCCGTGCCTCCGCTTTACGCGTGAGAAAAAAAAAACACGAATAACACGCCGAAGGTGTTGCGTGATCTGGGCGGGGCGGGGCGGGGCGGGGCGGGGCGATCGGGTGCTCCCTTGTCTTGTTAGCGGGAACGCCTCTTCCTCGCCAGCAACGCTTTCCAAGCCCCGCAATAATTAATCCGCACAGCGAGGTGCGTGCGCGGCGAGCGAAGCCGTTGCGATTACAAGTTTGAGCCGCGCCGCGAGAGTGTCGGGCTATCGGCGGTCCGGATCTCATAAACGGTGTGAGGAGCGGCGCGGCGTGGATGGAGTTGACGTGTTACTCAGTGGCGTGGCGATGAGTGCTGCCTGGCTGGCCTCCTATCTAGCGGTGTAGCGTACAGTCGGCCAGAAGACCGGTGGAGGTGGTCAAAGCTCTAGACGCGTTTTGAGCTCCAGAGTCGCTAAGCAGGCCTCGAACCGAACGTGTGACCCCACCAATCGATTGCTCTCCGAACGAGGAATCCATTGGTGGGGTCACACGTTCGGTTCGAGTTCTATGTAGCGACTCTGGAGCTCAAAACGCGTTCGGAATTCTGACCGCCTGCTCCGGTCTCCTGGCCCACTGTGTACCGCGGCGGCTCCGTGGTGCCGTGGAGTGCGGTGTGGCAAGTGGTGCCGAGTGAGTGACTGGTCTTTGCTCAGGCAAGTGGGCCGGCCTGGCCAGGGCGGCCGGGGCGGTGCGCTGGCTCGGCTTGCTCGGAATGGAGCGAACAGTTCATGAGTCGTGGCTGCTTAATGGCCAGTTGGGTCACGCCCGGGTCAGGCCAACAAGCTGGGCCACGCCTGGACGAATATCATCACGCCGAGCACACTGGCGGGAATCTGGTTCGAGAGTTATCGTTGCGATGGAGGCACCACGACGAACGAGACGAAGGCCCGAACTGGCAAACGATTAATCGTGATCTCGCCCCTCAAGTCCCGAAAGCGCCTGCGAAAGTCGGGGTAGGCAACACTGCGAGACGCGCGTGCGTGGCGGTACGGCCTACCCGCCACTCCGCAGGCGCTGGGGCTCGCTGTTCATCTCTCCCAGCGACACGCAAGATCAGAGGGATGAATCTCCATCTCAAGGAAAGTTCCCCCTCCCTTTCGTTCCTTAGATAGTCACTAGGTGGGCAAATCGTTCTACGCCCCCCCCCACTCTTTTACGCCGGCCCTGGCTCCGCCACTGCCGACGCATCGACACTGGCGGGGCCTGGGAAGACGGGGAGGGGGGGGGGACGACTGTGCTCTTATTCCCTGATAGAGGCTGCATATTCAAACGGCGTCGTCGAGCCGCCACTGTGGCGGCCAGGCCGGCGAGAAGCGGGGACGGTCGCCAACCTGGCCGGGCTGGCCGGGCGCCGCCACCGACCCCACTGGGCTCGCAGATAGAAACAACGCCGAAAAAAAAAGAAATTACCCGCCCCTTTTTTATTCTAAAAACCAAAGTAGCTGCTATGCTGGTCCATCGGCCGCCTCGAAAAAAAAAAAAGAAACAGCGCATTACACGAAAAAAAAGTAATGGAATTACGGCAAAATGGTGGCGCGGCGAAGGTAGACGGGAGCGAAACAATAATCAATGAATAATAATGATAATCCGGGGTGGCCATCAATCCGAGCGATAACCCGATGAGGCGCTAATCCCAGTGCAGCGGCCCGTGATGGAGCGGGGAGGGGAGGGGGGGGGCGTAAAATTGGTTCAAGGTGGCGCACGGACCAATAACGTGACGCGTAACCAAGAGCCGAGGCTCCCGACTCGATCACTCAATCCGCGGCCGCGGCGGCAGTGGTCCCAAACACGCTCTCTCTCTCTCTCTCTCTCTCTCTCCAACACACCCAACACACTCACACGCACAGAGACGCGTGTCCCCCGTAGACGACTGCCCATCCACCGGCGACGTTTATGGCGCGAAACGAACAACTTTTTCGAATTGGAGGCCCGGCTCGTTCCGAGCGTGGAGTGGCCGTGGAGTGGCGTGGCGTGTGCCGCCGTGCCGGCCGTGCCAGTGTGCCCGTCCGGCTGACGACACCCATTATTGAGTTCCTCCGCCCGTTTTACGCGCGATCGCCGAGGCTCACTCCGAGGACTGTCGCTCTGTCTCTCTCGCACCCGTGTGGCACGCCCCGTGGGCGCGAGAGAGACAGAGGCCGCTCGGAGGCAGCCGGCCGGCTCCGGTCGGACCGGTAGCGGCGGGCTGAACGCGTCGCCTTGTTTCGGAGGCTGGCTGGCCGTCTCGGC